ACAGAGCAACATCATGGTTCCTTCTCTCATGTTTATGTCATCCCTCTTCACATAATAGGAACATCAACTCCTTCTATCATTGTGTTGTCCAACACTCAATAAGTGATTTCATTGAAACTTACAAACATCAATTATTACTATCAGTGAATGCAGATAAGGTCATATCTTATTGATCAAGATATTTTATATTTTATCGATGGCTCAATGTCGTGTCCTCCCTCTCATGTTTCTGATAGTTCTGATGGTTCTTCTTCGACAATCAACCCCTTCTTTCTTCATTTGAAGCAACAGGATCAGCTTATTTTAAGTGTGTTACTCCCCTCTCTCTCTCTCTTCATAGATGGATTACACCTTGTGGTAGAATATTAAACTTCTTCTTATGTTTGGCGTACTCTTCATAAAGCATTCGCTTCTCAACATTATTGTTTAGAGTGATAAATATAAAAGGCCTTGAGGTTCTAAACATTAATGAGGGGGTGTGAATCACGATACATTGTCAAAAATATATTTTATAGAGGTAATATTTGATGGAGTGTTTTGAATTTAGGGTGTTGGTGTATAAATGTAAGATTTCATATCGGCGGATTAGGAGTTAATTGCTAGCCTTATTAATAATGTTGGTCGCTAACCTGTTATACGTGTTTTATGGTGTTAAACTCAGTGATGGGCTCACGTCATCAGAAACAAAACCGTGAGGGCGGAAGGCCCAAAGCGAACAACATATAGTAGGTTGGGCTAAGCTATTATATTTGGTATCAAAGCCGACCTCACTGACTATTCGATAGTGTCGATTGGGTCGTCAGGATCCTTAAATGGGTGAATTGTAAAATTTCACATCAACAGGTGAGGAGGTAGTTGTTGGCCTTATTAGTAGTGTTGGTCGCTAACCTGCTGTACGCATTTTGAGGCGTTAGGCTCAGTGATAGGCTCGCGTTATCAGGAACAAAACTATGAGGGTGGAAGACCCAAAAAGAATAATATACAGCAGGTTGGGTTGGGCTATTACAATAAAGGTATTGCTTTTTTCCCTTTAGGAATTTGGCATTTACAATATTGTGCTTATTTTTCAATCGCAACCCACTTAACATCACAAAAGCTATAAAATATAGATATACAATCTATCTATCTATTTATAATTCAACATTTTAGATTTGAGTAAATCCTGCGTCATAAAGGTACCAAGAATGCTTACAAGATTATTACATATCAACTAACTATAATGTATATCATTACACCTATGCAACTTTTTTTAAATACAACTCAATCATAATATAAAATATTAACTTAAAGTGTTGACTTATAGAGTAGTCTATTATTTATTTATTTATCCCTATTTTTTTTTAGAAAGTAATTTTTTCTCTAGAAAATGGTTTCTATAGAAAGTACATTCCTAGAAAGTATATTATTTTTTTATGTTTGGTAGTATTATGAAAATAAATTTAATAACATTTTCTAGAAATTGACTATTCTATGAAAAATGAGCTAAAAAATAACTTATTTATGTTGTATTTTTTTTCAAGTATATTAAAAGAATGAGACCAAAACTTACATATGAAAAGGTTGAATGAAATTCAAAAAATAAATAAATTCTATAAATTATTTAATAAAATAAATAACAATCAAACAATGGGATCAAATATGATAAATAAAAAAATCAATTAAAAACATAATAAGATAAAAAAAAAAAGAATGAGGGCTAAAGTTGATATAGAAATCAAATTTTAATGGAAAAAATTGAAAAACAAAATAATAAAAAAATCAAAATAAAATGTATAGCAATCAAAAGATTGAGAACCAAATTTAATATATTCAACAAATAACATGATATTTTGATTTTTTCACAACTTTTAGAAAGTATATTCCATTCAAAATAAAAGAAAAATATTTTTATAAAAAGCAAGCCAAATTTTTCTTTAGAATAAAAGGTATTTTTCATTTACCAACTTTCCTAATTATTAATATATTGTTCTAGAATTAAGGCAACAATAACATCTAAAAGAAGGTGAACTAGGTTTTTCACTAATACTAATAAATAATGCAATTTAATTCAATTAAACTCAATAAACACAATAATTAACAATACAATTAAAGTACTTAAAATAAATAAATAAAGGAGATAAATTACAAACTCAATTTTAACATAGTTCAACAAACTTACACCAAATCAGTCTTGAGTATTGTATTCTTTCACTAATTCAAATTCAAGATTACAATTGTCACATGATAAATCAATGCCAAGCTTTTTACATCACTTAAAGATATTCCTCCTTCAAGATTTTTCTCGCACTTGAAAATATGTCAATTTTTGGATTTTTCTTGGTGAAACATCTCACTAATACCAAGAGTTTTAACTTAACTCTTAAAGTTTTACAAAAGTGATTTTGATATCATAATAATTAACACTCTCATTGTACTGGATAATACAATTCAATGTTTTAATATCTTTATATCTTACAAATTAATACTTAAAAGATTTAAAAGTATTTAAGTATAGTGAGTATGGAATTAAATACTTTTGTACTAGAATATGAAAATTTTGATAACACCAATTAGAGAATAATTAAGGATTGATAATTTTGATGTGTCTTTGTTTTTTCACTTAAAATAACTTGTATATTATATAGGTTCAGATTTTCTTATTGATTTTACAATTAGAGAAGTTACTTATATGTTACTAGTAAAAAAATATTTGTTTATAGCCATTACAATTACACTAACAACTAAAATAGTTGATCGATTCAGATTGTAACGTTAATTAATTGACTAGTTCCTGTAGAATCCTTTGGTATTCATCACGAATGAACAAACAATCAACTAGTTCATTTAGTATTACTAAATGATCAACTAATTTATATAGAATTTTATATTTATCAGTTTTAATATAAATAAATTCTTAGAATTGTTTTTTCAATCTTTTTAAATATATACAAAGTGAAGTGTATGTATTTATTTTTATTTGTGCTATTAAACAAAATATAAAGATTTACATTTAACACTAAAAATGAATACTTAAACTAAGTATTCATTTTTTTTTCCCTTGGACTTCTAACATTCATGTTGATGTGTTCTTTGTTTAAAACATGTTTAGGTGTTTAATTTTTATGTTATTATTATTATTAAAATATATAAAAATAAAAATATATAATTTAAAAATTAATATAATAAACATGAAAAAAAGTTTTAAAAGTGATCACCTAATTCTGGTACCTAAATCTCATGTTAGGTTGTGTGGTAAGATTCACATCACGAAACATGAATTGAATTTACTTTTAGCATATAAAAAACTAACACAAAGTACAAATACTTACTGCATGGATCGGCTAAATAAATGGTAGGTTAGTACAAAAAAATTGATGGAAGGGGTCCATGATGTGTACTATTTCGAACCGTTCAAATAATTGAGCCCCGGGTGTGATGGTAAAACATCCTTGACAAGTACACCTATAAATATGTATTATTAACGTCCAAGATGTCTCTATTTTCTTCATCAATTCCTCCACTTACCCCCAACCCTTAAGCCTTTATGGCACTAATTAAATGTCCATGCGTGTGCCAGTCTCCGATTAGGCCTCTCTGCATCATATTGCGCTCATTATATGACGGTCTCGAGGGTGGCTGGCTGGCTGGCTCTGAAAATTGCCAAGTCTAAAACAAGAAAATGGTCGGAATTGGAGTGGAATTTTTTATTTTTTTATTAATATATTTATTTGGTTTAGTTGTACTCATCTCAATTTTCTTGTTCTCTTTATATATATATATATAAAGTGAACAAGAAAATTGAAGGATAAAATTAAAATTAAAATTAAATAAAAACTCTATATTAAATGTTCACTTGATTTATAATTAAATCGTCAAACCAAAAATTAATTTTCATGGTAACGGCATGATGTTGCTTGTAAAAAGCTAGTAATTTAAACGTGGAACATGTTCAAACGAGCTATTTTGTCTGCAATGATTTAACACTGTGGTTCGATGATGGGAAAATAGGAAAAAGAAGGAAAAGAGAGGGAGAAAAGGAAACAAGTCCTCGTCTACTTTGTTTTTATTAGTGCCAGGGGAAAACACACTAATTAGGTTAATCTTGGAGAACTTGAAAAACAGTTAGTGTGTTATTTTCCAGTTTTTAGATTATTAGAAAATGAGAAAACATGCGTTTTCATGAAAACACCTTTTTTTTCAAACTAATAAATGTGTTTTCTTTGGTTTTTACTTGTTTCTCGTTACATTTTCAACTAATAAAAGTGTTTTTACAACTTTTTATATTTTTTAATTTTATTCATTGGTTTTTTTTTTTGTTTTTTTTATTATATACTTAGATAAAAATAAAATTTAAAAAGTCCTCATGACAACACTCTATCAGTGCATTATTCTTATATCTCTTAACATATTATTGTCAAAATCATTAAAATATTATTTTTTAATAAAACTTGCTTTTATGATTTTGGTGAGCTTTTTTTAAAAAATAATAAATATTCTTGAAAGAAAATGCTAACAAGATAAGTGGTTTTAATTAAAAAAAATTCCCTTTAATCCTTATTTCAAATTATTTTCTAACTTTTTTAATAGTTATCTTCATTGTTTTATTTTATTTTTTTTAAATAGCTTCTAATCTTATCTTGATTCTCACTAGATAGGCATCTTTGTTGTAATAGTTTATGTTCTTCTTTTTTTTTACATTTAAATCTTGATTTTCTAAAAGATAAAATGATTTTTTTTATTTGTTTTATATGCAAAATTTAACTCATAATATTTTTAATCATGTATCTTTTTAAAAAAATTAAATCATAACTAAAACTATTTTTTTTTTAATATTATTTTTTCTAACCTCAATTGCAAAAATTATGAAAGTGCCACGCACGCTAAAAGATGCCACACCATCCGCACGCTTCCCTTCTTGCTATTCATTGACGCCATTTCTTTCTATTTCAACCGTACGAACTCCACTTCTTTTTTAACCTCAATCATTACTCTCCTTCCCTAACCTGCACTCCCCCACGTGCCTCTCCTTAATTCGCCTATAATTCGGCTCATTCTCCCAACGGCCTATCCATCCCCATAACGGCGCCGTCAATTTCCCCGTTACAAATCCCCCCGTCAGTGTGAACTGACTCTGGACCACCACCACTCTCCATCCCTTAAATATCACTTTCTCAATCCTCTCCGTCAAGAATCAGCATACAAAACTCAATTACAAATGGTAAGACACTCTAGAGATATTGAAGACGTTGCAATGGTGAAAGCCGCCGCCGCCGCCGCCGCTCAAGTTGGGGTGAAAACCAGAACTCGAGCTACAAAGAAAAGATCAAGACATATCAAGATCTCTATTAAAGTTAAAAGCAATGTTACCAGTAGTCGTCAAGAACGCGTAATAATTAGGTCTGACAATTCAGTTTCATATCCACTGGATGTTAGTTCCGCTCAGCGGATGGTGACTGAAGAGAGATGTTCAAGCCCTAGCTTACATGATGATCTTGATGATAATCATTCATTAATGTCGTCTACTTCTTGTTTTTCTAGCAATGGATCATGCGATGAGATAATTAAGTTCACAGATCTGGAGGTCAGAATTGCATCAATTCTCAGTTCTTGAGTTCTTGAATTCTTGAATTGATTATCAGTGTGTCCACTTTAATTTCTTCGAATTTAATTTAATTATTTTTTTAATTTTTTTGCAGGAAGAGAGAGTTGAAGTAGAAACGTCAATGTATTATAGTAGTAGTCGTAGGGAAAGGTTTGTTTGGGATATTTATTTTTGTTTTTAATGCCATTTAATTCTCGAAATTCAAAAAAATTTAAATTGGTTCCGTTTGAAACTCCTCCTCTCTAAGTTGAGTTGGTGTAGTATTTATATACGTAAAGTCTCTTGATTTAATCTTTCTTCTTTTATATATGTATATACAGAGAGAAAACACCGACTTCAAGCGCTCTCCGGGAAGAATCAATGTCAGAAAACATGGATTCAACGGCAACCCCAGCGCCATTGAAGAAGCCTAATTCCCATCGAAGATCAACGGCCGCGGCGGTGATAAGGATAACAGATGAAGAGGTTGAGAAATTCTTCTGCGAAATTGAGAAAACAGTTCCACAGCGCTTCAAAGACAAGTAAGGATTACGGATATGAACTGAATTCTAAGATTCAACTCATGCATATTGTGCATGCACTGCGTCTGCACACTGAGATTTATTTGCTCCAAGAAAACTCGGTAAATTACGGTGACCAGAAAAACTAAATGGGATTAATTGTTTTTGGTGTTCCATGGCAGGTATAACTTTGATTTTGACAAAGACGAGGCGTTGGAAGGACGCTATGAGTGGGTTAGATTAAATCCATGAAGAAGAAAGAAATTAACAATGGCGTGTGCTTAATCAAGCCATGTTTATTTTTATTTAGAACTCCATGATTTTTATTTCTCTATCCTTGTTGTTTTGTGTACAGCTTCTTCTTTCTTGTTCTCTCTGTTATATTTATGGTTTAGTTAGAATTCAGAAGCTGAGTTTGATCATCTGTTTCTTCGTGTGCTGTACGGTGGTAGTGATAACAAGGAGAAGCTTCTTTCCTGTTTTTCTTCCTTCATTCCTTGCTCTGCAGCAAAAAGATTAAAAGAAAAAAAAAAGTAAAAAGAAAAAAGATCCACTTGGGGAAGTTAACAGTGGAATTGTTGTTTTCGATTCTTACATTCTGGGGCAACTGCCCTTAATTTTCGTGTCCGTTTTACTGTAAGTCTGATGCTCTCTCCTCTTTTGGATTTTCTACCCGTCATCAAAGAAACAGAGAGAGAAGGGGGGATTCTCTTGTTTGTCGTCATTCATTTAATTCAATTCTGATTTTGTTCCTTCGGATATTTCGAAAAAAATTTAGAGTTACCGTGGGTTTATATAGTTAATAATTTTAAAATTTATAAAATTAATTAAAATATATATAAACTAGTCTGAATATTAATATTAATAAAAAAAATAATGAAAGATGAGGGCTCTAGGTGTGGTAATTTGGTGGGTGGGTTTTGGGTTGGAAGGTGGCAAGTGCACGCACCATGCCTGCCGTCCAAGTTACAAACACGTGGTTGAGAATGGAAAGTTTTTCTTATCCTTGATTGCTATTTTTTTATATATATATATATATATATATATAATTTCTATTTTCTTTGTTTACTTTTTCAATATTCCAAAGTTCTTTCATTTTTTTTCCACATGTGTTTGGGTTTTTTCTTCCGAGATTTTCTGTCTTGGGCGTGTGGGTGGGTTAAGAAAAATAGGGGAAAATATGGGAGTTTTGAAAAAAGAAAAGAATAATGCGAATGTTAAGAAAATCCATAAATTAATTAATGTTGCACCGCCAACAAAAGTAAGGGTAACTTTATCTTATCCAACAGAGCATGATCGGTGTCCTTAAATAATATTATTATATGAGACCTGTTATTGAATAGCACTATGGCCTAAATCCAGCGCCTCTATTTTATTTTATTTTAATCTTCGAACCATCTTTTAGCTCGTCAAGGAAGCATAAACGAGTCGAGCTTGAGCTCAGTTAAGCTTTTAGCTCGTCAAGGGTCATGAGCCGACTAAATTAGACTTGTAAATTAGGCTTCGCGAGTGAGGAATTGAGATCTAATGGAAAATTAATTTTAGGTATTTTCTTAATACTTGTCATTTGGACTGTTCTTTAACTCATATTGTCTAACATCAGAGGAAAGTGGTTTTTAAGGATTTGTTGTGTTTGTTTTGTAGAAAAACATTATGCATATTTTTTCCAAGGAAAAATAAACATTGAAAAATATTTTCAATCTAATTATTAATCACAATATATTACTTAAATCATCATTTAATCACGCAATTAACAATCATCATGACTCCATCATTATTATATATTGTTATAAAAACTGAATGATAATTTTTGTTTATATATATATATATATATATATATATATATAAAATAGTGATAAACCCTCACATTCTTTTTTTAACGTTATTTTTTTTGTTCGCCCACCAATATTCTAGTCTCTACCCTATTTGTCTTCTGTCTTCGAGCCCATGCATAAAAAAAAAAAAATACAAATACAGAGGAATGTCTAAACCACGTCATTCTTTGATGCCATAAGCGATATGGTAATGTCGATTCATGAAGTATCTTTGACATAGGAATGCATCCGCATTGGCAGGTCAAAGGACAGCACAATATCCTAGACATAGCAGAGGAGGCATATAATCTTATTCACAAAAACTAGTACAAAATATCATTATCCGAAGAACAAAAAAAAGAAGAAGAAGCAGAGGTCCCAATTATATTGATTTTAATCTTTTTAAAAGGACAAGAATTCCCTCCTCTGCCTGGCTAGTTACCTGATTGTATATATGGTAAGATTCCTGATCTTACCATACACAGCAAAAGCATTGAGGGCAATCGCCTTAGCACCACAATCACACGAATGTTTATATGCTGCTGGTAATATGGAGGACTCCACTGAACTCTAACTCTTACGTTCAAAGAGGCGGAAAAAAAATACTATCTTTTGTGGAAAAGGGCACATGGTATAATAATACTAAGGGAATGCAGATGCTGGCAGCTGGCCATTTCTCTTGGATCTGGTGCCTCCAACAGACACCCCCATTTGCTGCTTTGGGGTTCCCACTTTCCCCGTTAGAATTGAGACTGGGTTTCGATGGGGGGGGGAAAAACCAACAAAAAATAAGAAAAAGAAAAGGTAGCCAAAGCCATTTGATGGGATTTCCATAAAAGAACGTTCAACTTTGATACTTTTTATGTGTTTGTGTTTGAATCGGTTTTTTATTAATTTTTTTAAAAAAATAATTAAATCTTTTTATTATTTTTAAATCATTTCAATGTTATTGATATAAAAAATATATTTTAAAAATTAAAAAAATATTATTTTAATATATTTTTTACCCAAAAAAATACTATAAAAAAACAACTTTAATTTAATTTAACCAGCCTTGTCTTTCAACTTTAGCCCTGTAGCCCCAATCCCAAGATTTTGCACAAGCAGTAGTTTTTTAAATTAACTTGCTAAAGAACTATTGGGCCATTATTTTCTTTAATTAATTTGAGAATTTTTCACTCTCAAGGTAGTAATGTTAGGAGTAGCAAGTAATCTATCGTGTTTTGTTAGCAACACGTTTCCAAGTAAGATCCAAACAGATTTGTAATTCATCTTGCTCAAGATGCAGTATTATTCAAAATAAAGATTCCATGCTCTTGTTGGCATTTGTGTTCCATAAATGCTGACCATTAAGAATAACTTGATTATCGTTCAAGAAAAGAAATAAAAAAGAAAAAAAAGAAATAATCTAATGAAGATTATGACATTAGATCATGACCTTAATTTCGAACCTATTTTTGAAGTTTTCCTTTTCTTTTTTTCGCAATATCAAGCATTACTCTTTGTGTACTCGGGCGTTTGAGAAGCAAGATCTATACCATGATGGGTGAAAAGAATAGCTGAGGGTATCAGAATATCAGTGGCTGATTCTCAGGGATATTCCTTGCATGAACTGGGTTGGTTCTTCAAACTTGACATATAAGACAATGCGTGGAGCGGATGGCAACGAGGGCCCTTGGCTTCAAATTTAATGGAGGCTTTCAAAATCCATCAAGAGTGATGTTTTGAGAATATTATACAGCGATGTAAAGAGTACCTATTAAAAAACCCATTGCAATTCACAAAACAATGGGTTTTTGTTCAACCCAAGAAGGGACAGAGTCGAGCTTTGGCCTATACATTTTCAATGCTAGCTACTGATCGCACGGAACTGGATCTCATAACACCCTCCTTCTCCGTATAATATGCTATCAAAGCCTTCACAACCTGGCGAAATCTCCGTCTGTAAGTGGGAAATTTCGATATACCTCTAATCATTCCTATCATCCTGCCAATGTATTCGTTATCAGTAGACAAATGGAATACTTAAGGTGACAAGTTTTTTACACAAAATATCAGAAGAGAAAGGAAGAAAACTTGTCATTTCAAGTTAATGATAGCGTATAGTTAATGTCTGTCCCGGGATAGAAGAAACAAATACATGTTTAGCAAGACATTATAAATCTAAATCTATTTCTAGAATATTTTTTTGAAAAAGAAGAAGTAAACATGTCTCCTTTGCACTAACTATCTCTGTTATAATCTCGAGACGGTAACAAAACACAACCTAACCAATCTCTTATATTGTTGTTCTGTCAAAATCACTAATCCAAATGTTTATGATGCAGTTAAAGGGCCTTGGTGAAGAAGCAATGTAAAATTGGGATTCTGCTAACATGCATTTCAAAAGAGTCTATTGTTATCTTCAAAAAAATAATTAGAGCTTGATAAAGAAAGAAATGTAAAAATGATGCGATGTCCCTTCAATTGCTGAGAATGAATAGGAGAGTTTGACGTTTTATCTATAATGTGAATGTTCCCGACCTCTCACCCTGATTTTTAGGTTTTCTCGGTTATTGAAAGCAATGTATTCCTTCTTTAATAACTTGGAAAAAGGAATGCAGAAACTGACATACCTTCTGGTGATGCCCTGTATTTGAGCAGCTCGCAGAGCCTCTTGAGGCACCAAACTGCCATTATCCCAAGTTTCCATGCGTTGTGTATCATTTCCATAAAGAACTACTCTCTGCAAGAACCTTTCTTCACCTTCTTCCAATTTAATGACCCTTATTTGCTCTTTTAGGACCATCAGCGGCTGAAAGAACCAGTCGAACAATTTGTCATTTGGTCTATTATGATTTGTTATTTCAGTACCATCAGAAAGCAGAAAACCATCTGAACCAGCTTTAATGGAATTCAGGAGGGATTGCAAAAATGAATAACAAGGCAAGCCAACACTTATAATGGATGCTTCATTGCCGCCCCTGGCCTTCAAATAGTTACTGAGGTCAGCCGGTGTTATTGCACCAGAATCCAAAAGATCCCTGCCCCTCATTTCGCATGATCTCATCATTACTTCCCATACCTGCAGGCATTTAGAGCCAAACATCATAAACCTGTACGTGCATCTAATTATCTAAAGAGAACATGTGGTGAGTTTGATTACTTGGCAGCAGAAAACACCTTAGAAAAACACCTTACTAACTTCGCCTCATCAGTATTATTTTAGGGAATAAACTACTATTTATACCCTATGGTTTTAGAAAAATGATCGGTTGCTCCTGATGGTTTAAGAACCCCAACATTGAATTCCTATATTCTTTTATTTGATTGTAACTTACAGCAATTCAATTATGCTTTTCCTAAAAAAATTCATGCTTTCTAGTTAAATTCTTCAATCTCACATGCTACAAACAAAACAGTGCTAATCCATCCATTTACATCAACCAACATAACCATAAACCAATCAGTAAAAGAGTCGTCAAGATATAGCAGGCCACCAAATTGCATGTACTGAATCTTCACTACTCTTTAAACCAAGTAGCCTATCTTCCCATATTTCCAAACATCTAGGAAATCTGTTCCTATTTAAATCCTTTGGTGCACCACTCCACTTGTTAATTTGCACATGGGGAAAACCATAATCTAGCTGCTGAGCAGCCTCAAGTCCAGACTGCCTTGGAGTTAAAATCAAAGTGCCTATGATATAAACGACAGCTCCACATACAGCAGCTACTACATCCAATTGTGAATTCACCATTGCATAAGCACAAGGAAAATGACTACATCTGATTGTGAATTCACCATCGCATAAGCACAAGGAAAATGACGACTTCAAAAATGAAGGGCAGGATATTTCTGCTGATTAAACTCTCATTTAATTGCTCGCATAACAATTTCAAGCAAAGGGCAGCGACAGCTGCATCAGAAAAAGAATACCTGAACCATTTTCACTTCTTGTACTGTCTCCCTAACTGATTTTGAATGTGCAAAGCTTGGCACAAGCATCGCAGGAGCCTCTACATGAACAGAACTAAATTTGGCAAGGCTTCCTCCGACAGAAAGCTCAGATGAGTGAGAGGTCCCTTTCTTTTGATATTTGGGCCTGGATGCAGGAAACGTGATTTTGAAAGTTAAAATATAACATAACAAAATAACAAAGTTGTAGAAGTATTGGTTTAAGCTGGAAATCCACAAATTTGAGAATGATAAGGAAAAAGGATTACTTTGGAAGGAAAGTTCCCTCTCTGAGATAAAGTCTGTCATTTGTATACTCGTCGAACTCTGCAACCATTGCAATCACATAAGCCACAGCTCGCCAGAAAGATCTTTCCTGCATCCATCAGAATGATAAAGGTAAGCTTGTTATTGATGGATGACAAACTACAAATACATTGAACTATGAACCAACCTGATATAATATAACAGATGCATACAATCCAATGAAAATGCTTGAGAAAATGGTCACTAAGATGCTCCCAACAACAACTAGTGGCCACAAAAGGATTGTCAAGCCCGCAATAGGAATGCAAGCTGTTTCGAGAAATGGGCCCTCTCGGCTAATTAGATCATGCAGCAGTCGATACCAGCCCTTGAACAGCATGTATGGACTCTTAATTATAGCAATTGCAGCAAAGATAGGAACATCCACTATTAGCCCCACCAGCCCAGCAATGATACATCCAGGCACATGAATTAACCTACAAGACAGTGTTATAAGAGTGATGACTTGGTAAAAATTAATGAACTCAACAATAGCAAAGAAGATTCCAATCTCATTCTCTATGTTAATTCCGGTTCTAACTAGCAAATAGAGCAGACTTCATTTATACATAGTACAATAACTATTCAACTCAAATGATAGAATGATCAATTATCTTTATTTGAGAACCATGAAAAGAAAATCTTGAAATTGAATTGCTATGTTCATTATGTACAAGTCCAGACAACCCAGTAAATCAAAACGAAAGCAGTACAGAATACATCGTTGAGCAGAACTCAGAAAAGCAACATAGTTATGATAGATATCACCATTAAAACCAATATTATTACCTAAGAGTTCGAATTTCATTTGAAGCAGAGGATTCTCGCAACTCCTTCAAATAGAGGGGGTAAGAATGGCAGCAAATATCTGCAAAATCGGTAACTACAGTACAGCTGCCTTTAATAATTCCCCAAGTTCCATCCTAAATGTTTATAAAATTTAGTTAACACAAACTGACACTTTAAATATCAAGCAATGGGGACTAAAACAAGACATGAAGATGGCATTAATGCGATAACTAACAACTTACCACAACACAATGGTATAATGTCTTGAACTCATCATCATCATCATGCCTAAAGGCCTCAAAACTCGCAATCCAGGGAGCAAAGAACCCATACCCCAGTCCCACAAGAACTGTCCCAGCTATGCTTAAACCCAACCATATAACAAATAAAGCAGGCAAAGCAAGCAAGAGGGCCACTTTAAGAGGTATGTCAAACCTATCTGTCCTTCAGATACCAAATATTGCCAAAATCAACATAAATCTTAAGGGAAAAGAGAAGTTAAAAAAAAAAGAAACTTGTAACCAAATAAACAGAATCCAATATTCTACGACGTAAAAAACACTACAAAGGAGCAATATATTTGAAATTTCTTAAAATGGGAGATTCTGAGTAAGTTACTTCACAAGGGTGTAGAATGTCCAGGAAATATGTGGAGGAAACATTCCCAGAATTACTGCAACATTCCCTAATATTAGTACAGAAGCAGCAATAGGCCCCACCAACAGCCCTGATTCAATACAAATCCCAAAAACCCATCATCAAATTTACATGTAAACTTTAAAATAAACATTCAAAACTAGAACTTCCATGTAATCAAGCACACCAAAACCGAACCTTTTCTCCCCTAAAGAGAACCTAAATCCAGTGTTACAAGATAAAAAAACAAAACAAACTTGTGGTACCTTTAAGAGCTCCCAGGAAGAAAGCTGAGCAGAAGGCAAAAATCACATAGAGAAACCTTAACCAACCACGGAGATTGTTTGACTTTCCCATACCCGAATACCATGGAAACAGGAAACCAAACCGATAGGAAATGGTTGTAACCCAAAAAGGAATTGCAAAGTTTGTTATAAGCCCAGGAAAAAAATATTCTCAGTACAAGCCAATTATAGTAGTTAAACGAGAAAAAGGCACAACCTTTAAAACCAGACCACAAGACTCCTGTGTTGAGAAATTATAAAAAGAGAGAAAGACAAGGTTTCTTGCCAGAAAAGACAAAAGAAAGAGATCAACACACAAAAACGCCCCCAAAAAAAGTCAAAGACATCGTCAAATGCGAAACAGAAAACGAGAAAGCTGTAGCAGTTTTTCTGGTTTTTTCGTCCAGGGTGATGAGGCATGCAATGACGTCAACGCCATGAAGGCATACTAGCTATTAACACCTGCTCCACCTTGGTTTTTTGGTGCTTTGAAAATCATCTGGGGAATGATCAGGCACCCGGCTGGGAGTGACGCAGTTTTGCTAAAATTCAAAATTATAAAAAAATATATAATTTATTTTTTTATGTTTTTTACTATATATAAATAAATTTTAAAAAATTAAAAAAATATATTTTAATATAAAATTCTTTAAAAAATATCTATAACCGCACACTATTAAGGTATTAGAATAGGCAGATACACGTGTTATTTCCCCTTCAAATTCGAGTACAAACTACAAACCAAAAACAAGTACATGGCACTTGAAAAGAAAGAGAACTTCGTGGGATTTGAACTGGTCATATCTTGCCACGTTATCTTGCAAACTCTATCTTGTATGGTTGTCAGCGTGCTTCTGTAATTTATGTGTGTTTAATTTTATATTAAATTAATATTTTTTATAGTTTTTATATGTTAACGTTAAAAAAAATTATAAAAAATTATTTTAATATATTTTTAAATAAAAAATATTTTAAAACAGCACATTGATTATAATACCAAACATATGAAATTAACTATATGAAAAGCGTTTTTTATAAATAAAATATATTTTGTATCAACACAGTGTCATCAACAATTTTAAAGCTAATTTTTATTTAATTATATAATAATTAAAATAATTTAAAAAAAAAACATGGAGATTTTAAATTTAATTAGAGAAAATTTATTTCTTAAATTGAAATCCGTATTTCTTATTTAGTTTTTTTTTTGTGAACAATATTTTTTTATTAACAATATTGTTTTTATAATTAAAATAAATATTTTTTAGAATATGAATAATATAAATACAACACATGTTAATGAAGCAATTTTAAGTTTTGTTATTTATTAGTCTAGAATGCAGAAGAAAATTTATTTATCAATTGATATCTAAAATTGTTGCATACTTTAAAAAAAAATTATGCAAAATTTAATGTGAAGAAATTAAAATTGATATTTAAAATTGTTACATATTTAAAGAAAACAGGTTTGAGAGTCTTTATTTGATATCCACGAAATCAAGACTAGAATAATTTAAACTCAAGAGTTATTTTCAAACTAGAGAGACTAATGTTGGAGGATTTTTAGAAAAAGTTAATACTTTTAGTTATTTTTATTTTTATTTAGTTTTAAAAAAAAAATTTGATAATATTTTTATTCTTTCTATTTAATTTAGGAATTTTTTTTTTCTATTATTTAGTTTAGGTCTAGGATTGGTATAAAAAGAATTGTTTAATTTATATTTCAAGAGACTACTTGAAAATAAAATATTCAATAATAAATTTTTAAATTAGAGTTTTTATAAAATGACTCTATTTAGAAGAATTATGTATTATTTATGTTTATTGTCTTTCTCATGTTATTTCTATCTGTGTTAATTTTCTAAAACAAACACATTAATAGTAAGATTAACCTTTTTTTAATGGTTGAATTGTGATAATCTAAATTCCCTCTCTCCTCTTTATTTTACATCAATTTTCTTTCTCATCTCTAATAACGTATAAGTAAAAAAGTGATGAAAGTGAATTTAGGACTAAATGTAAAAGCATAAAATTCTAGGGATCAAATTAAAAGAAATAAAAATTATAGGGGCTAAAGTGAACTTTAGTAACAGTAATTTCCATTGTGCATGTGAGTGTAGGGGTACAATGAAAGACCCTTTTTTCTAGAATTTAGTATAATTTCTTGGAAAATAGATTTTTTTAAATAGTTTATATATATATATATATATATATGATTGTAATATGAAAAATAAATATTTTTTAAGTTATTAATTTTTTTAAATAGTAATACTATTATCAAACATTTTCTTTCTAATGTTTGACAAAAGTTAAAAAAAAAAAAAATTTCTATAGTAGAGTTAACGTGATCAAATATTAACGAATATTATAATATATCATCTTGGTGTACGATAATGTATTTTTTAGCAATATTATATAATAAAGATATTATATGCAATAATATATTGAATTGATGTAATTTCAATATATTACATATTTATATATCTTAATATATAATTTTCTACATATAATATATTATTAATTTATTTTTCAATATGATTGTACATTTGTATACTTTAAAGTATATATTTATAAAATAATAATGAATTGGTGTTCCATTTTCTTTTTTGATTTTGAATCCTTCAATATGAAAAGTTTTTTTTTCCTTTTGTAAATTATAAAAATATTTATTTCTCTCTAAGACTTAATTTTTTTATTTAACTAGAAAACGAATTCTAAATATGGTAAAGTATAAAAACATTTAAAAAGATATTTTCTGAAAAACAAATGGTCCTTTAATTAAGATTATGTTGTTATCATTGTGATCGATTGGTAATGGAGGATGTGAGATAATCTGGCTATCATGGTGGTGGGATGATTTGGCCATGTGGCGATGATGGTCGAGGGATGATTTAGCTTGGATGGTCATGTCCTACAACCAAATGACCAGTGTATTTTCCAAGTACACCATTCTAATAATCATGTCAGTAATTTTTTAATAAATAATTAAAGAACATTAAAATAAAATTAGCAATTAGTGAGCCTGTTTAATAGTGACTTGCAATATACTTTATCCGTGTTTCATTGAGTTTTGTTTTTTTTTTTAAATTATAAAAAAGCTTTTTAAACATGTTTTTATAGTGAAAAAAATTATAATAAAAAACTTTATATATACATGCAATTAAATAAATTAAAAATTATATTTGTTAATAAATAGAAAACAAAACCACAAGCAATAACTAAAAAAAAAATTAAAAAAAAATTGAGTAACATTTGTAAATTAAAATATTTAATATCATAAGATGGAGTGTTTACCTAGTTGTATTTGCTAAATTTATTTATTAAATTAATTTTTTAATTAAAAAATAATAAAAATAGATACAAACATTAAATTAATTGATTAAATAAAATAAAATTAGAAAAAAAATACTTGCAAGGCTGCATATATTAGAGATATTATCAAAAAATAAAACAAAATTATTTTAGAACATAAAATTTATCTATACAAAAGATTAAAAAATTATAGATGAATTAGAAAAATCTCTTCAAAAATTAAATATATAACCAAAAAAACTGAAATTTGAAAAAGGCTTACTAAAATAAATAAAAAGAGAAGGAGTATTCATCTAAATATAAATAAAAAATTGAAAAAATATAAAAAGAAGCATTAATTAAAAAAATTACAAAAAAAACAAGGCTAGGCATTGCTAAGCTTGGCATGCTAGGCAATCCTGCTTTAAGATTTTTTTACGCAAAAACTTGTTTTTCAACAAATATTGACTCAAAACATTTAAATACATCTTAGAAACTATAACAAATCTATCCATTACCTTAAAAAATTCAAAACCCGTCGCAAAAACTAAAATATACCTGAGGTCAGATTTGTTTTATCATGAATTTTAAAGATAAATAAACATTCAATATGAACTCCTCTTATCAAATGAAACCATTTAACACAACTATTAACCGTTTTAGTAACTTAAATCAATGTCAACTATATTTTTCTCTCTCTGTTGTCAAAATTTAGTAACCTCTCTCTCTCTTGTCTCTTAATTAGGGACCTCTAAATAATAAAAATAAAATTTTTTATATCAAAATTAAATTGAAAAAAATATTGAGATATCAAAATTATATAATATATATTATTTTTAAAGTTTGAGGACAAAAATATATCTTTCTTGAAACTTCTGGCAAGACATTCATTTTTGGTGTATTTTTCTTTCTAGTCTCTCTTTTTTCAATTTCACTCTAGACTAAGAATTTAAAAGCAATTAGTCTTCAATTAAAAAGAAATCACACAAAATAAAATTTTAAGAACAAAATGATTATAAAAAATACATATTGTTTTTGTTTGTGAGTGAACAGTGATAATTCTTAGAGTAATTAGCCTATGCAATTTTGTAACTAGCCTATGCAATTTAGTTTTTAGGTAATACTTCTTGGATATTTTCTATGAGTTCTTGCTTGGAGTTGAAGTGGCTCTTTTTAAAATATCTATAAGGTATTTTATAATTTTATGGTGAATTTACATTATACAATACAACTAACAAAATATTTTTTTTTATTGTTTATTAATATGTATTTTTTTAAAATCATTGTGGATGACATGGTTTAAAAAGGGTGTCATTCTATTTTAATTTCAACCTTGCTAGTTATGTTGGTCATGTTTTGTGTTGAGATTTTTTTTAAGTATATTCTTATAAATTCAAATAAAATTTTAAATTTCAATTAGAGGTCAATTAAATAAAATATGATTTAAATGTATAGTATAAAAACAATTAAAAAAAAAAAAATCAAATTGAAAATAAAAAACCAAGTGAAGCCTTTTTCAATGTTGCAAGAAAATTTCATTTTCATCTAAAACAATCTGAATTTTATGTTTAGGTTCCAAACTAATGTGATCCATTTATGCATTTTGATCCCTTTGGTCTTATGCTTTCACGTATAGGATCTAAACTTAATTTTTTTTTTAATGTTTTAGTCCCTGAGTTTTGAGAAAGAAGAGATAAATTAATCAAAAAAAAAAGTGAAGGAGAAAAAAGAAGGTTAGTTGATTACATTTTAACTATAAAAAAATAAAATTGATGTTTGTATTAGTATGTTCATCTTGCTAAGAAAAATATCAATGAGGTGTTTTAGAATTTTAGCTTGTTAGAAAAAAATAGATTAGGACTTGAAATTTTTTTTCTTCAATTTAATTTTGGGTTTTGAAACAATTAAAAGGTGTTCTAAGATTAAATGGATTTAATAAAG